TTGGAAGCAATTTTTGATCCCCACTGTAATTTGAAATCTTGTCAGATTTTGGAGATTGTAAGTGAACTTGAGGGTACTGAATTCTCACTTGATCCATCAGAGAAGCAAGTTGGTGATGACATAATTGCATTGCTTCAGCAGGGGAGAAAATTTGACAACTGTAATGACACTAATGAGCTAGAATCATTTCATCAGGCTGCTACTAAACTTGGTATTACCTCTTCCAGAGCAGCTCTTACGGAGAGAAGGGCTCTTAAGAAACTTATAGAAAGAGCTCGTGTGGAGGAAGATAAGCGGAAGGAATCAATCGTGGCTTATCTCTTACATCTCATGAGGAAATACTCCAAGTTATTTAGAAGTGATCTTATGGATGATAATGATTCACAGGGTTCAGCACCTTGTTCACCCACTGTTCAGGGTTCTCTTGAAGATGGAGGCCCTGGTGGTGATGGCCATACCTTTGAGCGACATCTATCAAAGCTTAGTTCGTTCAATTTCAAACCAAACTATAGAAAATCTGGGCAAATGCCTGTTCCACCTGAAGAGTTGAGGTGTCCTATATCATTGCACCTGATGTATGATCCAGTCATCATTGCTTCTGGACAAACGTATGAAAGGATCTGCATTGAGAAATGGTTCAGTGATGGGCATGACTGCTGTCCAAAGACTCAACAAAAGCTTTCTCATCTCTGCTTGACTCCCAATTATTGTGTTAAGGGGCTTGTTGCTAGTTGGTGTGAACAGAATGGAGTCCCAGCACCTGATGGTCCCCCAGAGTCTCTTGACCTCAACTATTGGAGGCTGGCAATGTCTCAGCTTGACTCTGCAAATTCTAGAAGATCAGTAGAGAGTGTCAGCTCTGGAAAGTTGAAAGGGGTCAAGGTAGTTCCTTTGGAGGAGAGTGGTCCGATTAAGGAGGCTGAAGAAAATGAAACAGAAAAGTTATCATCGCAACAGGAAGATTCTGTGCCAGAAGATGACTTCGAGGATAATGTATTTGAAAGATATAAGAATTTTCTGACCATCTTGAATGGTGACAAGGACTTGAAGAAGAAGTGCAAAATAGTAGAACAAGTGAGGTTTCTGTTGAAGGATGATGAGGAGGCCAGGATTTTTATGGGGGCTAATGGGTTCGTTGAAGCACTATTGCATTTTCTAGAATCATCTGTGCATGCTAGGAGTCCAGTGGCTCAGGAAATTGGAGCAATGGCTCTTTTCAACCTTGCCGTCAACAATAACAGGTGCTTGAAGTCTCTAAATATCAAATTAACATTGAGTAGTAGTAGTACTATGGCATATTTAATTAGGTGTTAGAAATTTAGAATTCTTATCGTTTATAAAACGGTCTAGAATGGAGTTATGATTTAATCATTGTGTGAGTGATGCATGACTTTTATTACTGGAACTGTTATGGATCTTTTTGTTGATGGAGAAAATCCTGCTTGAAATAGGGAGTTAGGTTCTTGATTCATTTTCCATATATTTGTCAAGTGTGAAGATGTGCCAATAATTTTAGAATAATTGATTTTTTTTTTCCATTATTCCATTCCAGAAATAAGGAATTGATGTTGGCTGCTGGTGTTATTCTATTGTTGGAGGATATGATTTCCAACTCTGACTCTGATGGATCAGCAACAGCTCTCTATCTAAATCTCTCATGCTTTGAAGAGGCGAAGTCTATCATTGGCTCAAGTCAGGCTGTCCCTTTCTTAGTCCAAATCCTTGAAGGTGAAACTGGAGCCCAATGCAAGCTCGATGCCCTTCACACCCTCTATAATCTCTCCTCCTGCCCCACAAATATTCAGAATCTCCTCTCTGCTGGCATCATCAGTGGCCTCCAATCCCTTCTCGCAGTCCCTGGTGATCATGCATGGATAGAAAAATCCATTGCAGTGTTGATAAATTTAGCTTCTAGTCAATCGGCAAAAGATGAAATACTATCTGCCCCTGGCCTTATTAGTGGGTTGGCAACAATACTAGACACCGGCGAACCCATAGAGCAGGAGCAAGCTGTTGCTTGCCTTTACATTTTGTGCAATGGGAGTGAGAAGGGCAGTGAATTGGTCCTACAAGAAGGAGTGATACCTGCATTGGTCTCAATCTCGGTGAATGGGACCACAAGAGGGAGAGAGAAAGCGCAGAAACTTCTGATGCTGTTTCGGGAGCAGCGGCAGCGAGATCAACCATCTGCTGAGGTTCACTTTCAGCAAGATCAACCATCTGCTGAGGTGCGCTTTCAGCGCATCGAAAGTAGTTCCAAGTCCATGCCTGCTCCTGAATCAAAGCCACTTTGCAAATCTGTCTCAAGAAGAAAGATGGGGAAAGCTATAAGCTTTTTTGGAAGAGCAAGAGCTACTCAGTTTACCAGTGTTAAGTTGGTGTTGTAAATTTCTGTTGTATCTTCTCTCTTTCTTTTGTCCTCGGGGCATTATTTGTTTTTGTTTTCACAGAGAAGAGATGTACAGGCCCTTGTAGGCTATGGATTTTGTTTTTTTTCCTTTGCCTTCCTCTTCCGGTAGGAAAGCATGTAACATAAATGCAAAAATTATAATGGAAGCCATAGAAGATTAACCTTATAGTAAAACGACCTTGTGGTGTCTTGATGCTCTTAATTTTCCAAAGGCTAAAATCCCATAGTAAATAACTAACCTTGTAGAACACGTGGAAGAAGCTGCTAACAATCATTGTACCAGTTTATCTTTTCTTGAGGGTCTCTTAATCCATGTCTCACAGGCCAGAGGATTCATCGTGCACAGAACTTTTGTTTAAAAGTCTCAGAGGAAACCAAAGTTGGATTCTTTGACGTCCTATATTAGTTTAATGATGATATTTAATTTTATATTTTATAAATAATGGTCCAGCCTTAACGGCAACAGGCCCGTCTAGCTCAGTCGGTAGAGCGCAAGGCTCTTAACCTTGTGGTCGTGGGTTCGAGCCCCACGGTGGGCGTTTATAATGATTTTCACTTACCCCCTTTTAACTTTTTGCTCTGTGGTTCTTAACGTTGAAGTATTTAGAAGCAGGAATCTTGGATCCACTAGGAGCGCAGCAATTTATGGAGCTTTTCCAAACAATATCTTATTTATCATAGCAATACAATCAAAATCTGACGTAATGTCATTAAGCATAGAAGAAGAGTAGCAAACATTATGAAGGTAGCAGTCTCCCATGTTCTCGGTCTTAAAGCTTAATACCGCAAGCAATGTCCTCGATTACGAGTATTGATTGATTTGTTTTATTGGCTATCAAGCTCCTAGATCAAATTTACTTGGATAAATATATATTTTTCTTTATATAATACTCACAATTTTTAGTTTGTTTTTAGATTTTTAATTATATATATATTTTTTATTTTTGAAAAATTTTAAAATATTCAATCTATTTTTTTGATCAAATTTTCTGATCATGAACAAATTTTTTGACCGAAATATAACTTACTAAAATAAAAAAAAAATTAGAAAAACACTTAAAATCATGTTGTTAATGATCAAAATTGATGTTGTTGAAGGCATAGTTGGTAAAGAAAGCATGTTTGACACCAAGGATTTGCCATCGAAGTGATGGTTTTTGGAGTGAATGAGCTTTCTTTATGGGGTGCCTTTGTAAGCGGAAAGTGATTTATATAGCAAAGAATCAAGAATATAACTTGTACAAGAAGCATTAAATAGTTAATTTATAGCCTAATGGTAATGATCTCTTATAAAAAGTTACGAGTTTAAATCTTAATAAATTAATTTTGTAGGTTCAAATCTTGATAAATTAGTTTTACTAGGATGAAAAAACTTGCACAAGAAGCCAACTGGTATGAAAAGCCTACAGAATAGAAAGCTTCCGGAGAAAGTTTTAAGAAACACAGGTTAATTACAGTGGGGATTTAAAAACATGAAGCTTTATGATATATGTTTCCAGTCGCTAGTCAGTGATCGACAGTGTAAGGATTTCGTTAACATTGTCACAATAAATGGATGGTAGATTAATTGGGGTGCTGTCTTCTCCAGCAATTTTCTTACAGAGTAGGTGAACGTCTTTGTCAACAACTTGGCCCATTGCATGCTAGTGCTATTCTTTTGAAACTTTTGATGCCACGTTTGACCCATTCTGTGTCACAAATATGCTGTGATACTTATAGATGAGGTTTGATTATTGAACTTTGGCATTAACTGTCAAAAGGTTGGTATTGAAGGATTTAAGAACTAGCAGTATCAATTGGAACGTGCTCCTGCACTAGTTGTAAATGCTATTGCATTAATTGGCTACTAGTGAATTATATCTAGTAGTGATGAAACGAGGCATGGCTAGTAATGGAAGCTGAAAATGTGTCTTGAGGAAGCTGACTAAAACCACAACAAAAAGAGTTTCAAATTCCCTACTGCTAAATGGGATAGCGGGAAATAAGACCTTGTAGCCTTGGGTGCTTAACTTCTGCCCAATAATCATTATAATCACATAGAAGAGGAGGAAAATGTAGAAACAGCACCCATAGTTAATAGAAATAGGGATTTAAGAAAAGGGAAGGGAAAAATTTAAGGACGTTAAAAACATATTAATTTTCTTTTAGAGAGACTCCTAAAGAAATAGGTAGAAGCCGGAAAACGGTGCATTAATTGTTGCTGGGAGAATTAGAAACCAACGAAGGCAACATGTATGTGTTCTTAATTTCTCTTGAAATGGTGCATAAATTTTCATTTTCTTGTTTCACTATTTATCACCATGCGGAGTAATTCCACATGCCATTTCAAACCATTTTTCTAACACATGCTAATCACGTTTGATTTGTCATCCTCAATTCCCAACAAATACCGGCTTTATCTCAACTATATATGCCAAAATGCAGGTAAAAATAATCTAGAATACTAAAATAAAGACTAATTATTTGCACCATGTACTTATTGATATAGTACTTGTGAGAATTTTGGATACAACAACAGACTTGATGCAGCTTTTACATCAACCTTAATTAACTTCTATAGTATTAAGAGAACTTATATGTCTATTACAATTCAAGTTCTTCCTTTTGCTCTTCTTGCCTTCTTCCTCTTATTTCTCTTGACTTTGTTCTTCTCCCATTTCTCCTCTTTTTCCTGGCTTTCATTCTTGTTGTCATTTTCTTTCTGTTTATCATCCGCTTTTTGTTCTTCAACATTCAGTTGTTTGAGTTTCATTCCCTTCTTCCTTTCTAGAAATCCAATGAGCCCTGTAAGTGCAATATCGACATCTTCATTCTTCATGAGCTCTTCTGCAACCTCTGCTGGAGTCACTTCCACTTCCACTATCAACTCATCAATCTCACTGAAAAGGCTATGATTTTTAACGTTAAGGTAGTTAGAAGCAAGAATCTTGAATCCACAAGGAGTGCAGTAGGACATGTGTATGTGCATGTCCATCCGGCCTGGTCTCAGCAATGCAGGATCTAGTTTGTCTTGGTAATTGGTTGTGAACACTATTATCCTCTCATCTCCACAGCTTGACCATAATCCATCAATGAAGTTAAGCAGTCCAGACAAAGTTAACTGCTACAAGAGAAAAATTCTTATGAGGACCACAGACAATATCCTGCATAATTTTAATGCAGATGAGAAGCACTCATTACGAACTCACCTGACTTTCACCCTGGTTGTATCCTCTATTTTGTCGGTCCTGCAACTCAATGCTACAATCGATGTCCTCAATTACAAGTATCGATCGATTCGTTGTACTGGCTAGCAATCTCCTCAGTTCCGAATTGCTAGTCAAACTTGCAAGTTCAAGGTCGTAAATGTCAAACTTCAGGTAGTTAGCCATCGCTGCGATCAAGCTGGACTTGCCAGTGCCAGGAGGGCCATGCAACAAGTACCCACGTTTCCATGGTTTTCCTACTTTTAGGTAGAAATCCTTTCGCCTCACAAATCTGTCCAGGTCATCCATTATCTCCTTCTTGAGGCCAGGATCCATTGCTAATGTGTCGAAAGTAGATGGATGGTTAAGGTTGACACCTTCGTAACTTGCAAGTGACTGCAGTTTGAGCACCTTTTCCTCATTTTTTATGGCTTTGAATCTTTCTAGTACATACGGGAGGAAAGTGTTCAACACCTTTTCCTTGTGATTCCTGTGGAAGCTAAGCAGAATCGATCTATGCTCTTTTTTTCCTGATGACTGGGACCAGCTTTCAAAATCAACAACCGTTTGTTGAGTTTCAGTACATACGAATTGCCAAGCTAGCTCAATTCCTTCGAACGTGTCAATAATCTGTTGGCCCTTGTCGATTGTGACCGAAATGCTTTTGTTCCCTGGATCTTTGGAAACCTTAAGCTGTTCGACAGAGGGAGTGATTCTTGTGTTCAAGTAGACTTCAGAAGCCTGGAAGATTTCATTGATGGAGAGACCATTGTATTCGTCGACGATGAGAACCAATTGAGAAGAGATATTTCCGAATAGGCGTCCAAGACTCGATGATATTTTCTCTTGCAGTTTTTGGGGGATAAATTGGTTAACCAGGGTCTGAACTTCACTGAGCATAGACCGGACAAGCATTGCAGAAGCAGCAAAGGCGGTGTATGTTGATAAAACTGATGTTGTTGAAGGCATGCTTGGTAGAGAATACATGTTTGATACGAAAGATTTGCATGCAAGTCGGTGATTTTGAGATGAATGAAGATTTCTCCCTGCGGGGTTTTTATGCAGCAAAAAATGGTGAACGTAGCTTCTAGTTGAAGCCACCGGATCTAAGAAGAAACGGTCCAAATTAAATCTTAAAAAGTAGAAAGCTGCACCAAAATTTTCAAAAAGTAAGTCAATTATAGAAAAAGCATATAAAAACGAAAATAATAAAATCCAATTTACATTCCCTGGTCAGTTACCGGAAAGGTTACATGGTCAAATGCATGGATAGGCAATCTTCTCGATCAATTCTTTCAGAGTTGATGAGCTGTCTGAATCAACGACTTAGACCATTCCATAGTCTTGGCGATTAAACTCACCATGTTACGTGCTCTAACCTTGGCCACAATGTATGAAGATCCCCTGAACAACCAAACGTTTTGATCTGTACACTCTGTATATATATTTTTTTCCTTTTGGTTTTAACAGTTTAACTATGAAGTGTTTGGATTTAGATTCGTTTTGTCAAGTTATGATCGATATTAACAACAATACCACCGAGTAAAAGGTTGAGTCGACCTGATCAGTTGATTTACTGAAAAACTAAAATAAAACGTTTGTACAGTGTAGATTTACTATTTGAAACGTTGTGCACACACTTACATTTCACTTCACGCTCTCACATTTCATTATATGTTTTGCTATTCGTAAATTTTTTTTTACACTTTGGTCTCCGATATTTTTGAACGCATATTTCGATCCAAATGTTCATTTGCTCATCAATTTTGATCTCTGGATGGAGAGAGAAGGTTGAGAGGAAGAGAGAGATGAGAAGAGAGAGAGATCATCGGCCAAGCTTATTTAGGCCACTTTGACCGACGAAAATCTACAAGATTTTTTTTATTTTTATTTTTGAGAGATGAGTTTGTCCATTGTGGTTTCAAGCTATTAAACAATTAGAGAAGGTAGATCGAAGCTAAAAAAAAAAAAATCCGATTTGATTTTTTATTTTTGTGCGCATTAAAATGATTTTTAAGGTTTTGAATGTATTTATGGGCTTTATTTCGATAATTTAGAAGTGTTTGGCAAAAAAAAAAAAAAATAATGCTAGAATTCAATTTCTAAGGATTTGAAAGTTGACTCCAAAAGTTGTAGGCTTTTTTTTTTTTTTTCCCCTTTCCGGTTGAGCGGTAGGCAAGGCTCGGCACGCGAGCTCGCAATGGCAAGCCCAAGCGTGTTGGCCTGCCTCCACGGTTCAACCACGCGTGGCCTCTTTTTTTTTTTCCTCGATATGTGTAATCTGGTTGCACAAGCCAACCGGACGCTTTTTGTCCTCTCTCTCTCTCTCTCTCTCTCTCTCTCTCTCTCTCTCTCTCTCTCTCTCTCTCTCTCTCTCTCTATATATATATATATATATATATATATATATATATATATATATAAAGAAAAAAGTCTGTAAAAAAAATATGAAAAATATAAAAAATAAATTATTATTTTTTTAGTTTTCCATATAGTTTAAAGATGGTAGAATATATATATATTATTTTTATTGTTTAAATTTAATTTTTTAATTATTTATTTCTTATTAAAATTCACATCAAATAAGTTTTTGGTATAATTTTATTTGTTGATAAATTTTAGAATTTCAGTGTTTTATTTTTTAAATATATTATTATAATTTATATAATAATTTTTTTTTACTTTTTAAATGAGTTTTTAATTTATTTTTAAGACACACACACACACACACACACACACACACACACACATATATATATATAGAGAGAGAGAGAGAGAGAGAGAGAGAGAGAGAGAGAGAGGGAGAGGGAGAGGGAGGGACTATATCTAATTATATTAATTTGATTGTTTAAATTTATTTTTTAATTATTTGTTTCTTATTAAAATTCAGATCAAATTAATTTTTTTATATGATTTTATTTGTTAATAAATTTAGTTTTTTAATATATGAATTTTGAATTAAAATTTTAGAACATCGGTGTTTTATTTTTTAAAACATATTATTATAATTTATATAATAAATTATATGTGTGTGTCTTCTTTTTTTTCTTTATACAATAAATTATATATTTGTGTGTATCAGGTGTTTTGAATCAAATCGAACCGACCCTTTGCATAACTTAGGCTCAAGTTGATCCCTATATCATCGATTTAGGACATTTTGAATCCTCAGTCCAACTCAGGAGATTTCTTGGATTGACTACAATAAATGAACATATAAAAGGGATTACGAAAATGAAATATAATTTAAAAATTATTTAAATTAAATGGAAATTCATATTTTTTTCCCTAAGAAAATGAAAGTCAATCATTTCTCATTCATATAATCCACACTTTGTCCTTATCATTTGAAACATCACTTAATATATATATATATATATAAAGAGTGTGTTTGTTACAAACAAAGGTGATAATTACTTGTTGAGTTAATGTACTTACTTGGTTTCTATATTAGATCTATTTCATTCAATAAATCCTTTACAAAAATATTGGTTTGATAAATCCCTCTCCTATCTTGGATCAACATTAGATATGATCTTTCCATTTTATAAATCGTAATGGATATTAACTTTCTGACATGTGGCATTGTTCAAGACTTGATGATATTTTCTCTTGCCGTTTTTGGGGGATAAATTGGTTAGCCAGGGTCTGAACTTCATTGAGCATAGACCGGACAAGCATTGCAGAAGCAGCAAAGGCGGTGTATGTTGATAAAACTGATGTTGTTGAAGGCATGCTTGGTAGATAATACATGTTTGATACGAAAGATTTGCATGCAAGTCGGTGATTTTGAGATGAATGAAGATTTCTCCCTACGGGTTTTTATGCAGCAAAAGTTAGTGAGTGAACGTAGCTTCTGGTTGAAACCACCGGATCTGAGAAGAAACGGTCCAAATTAAATCTTAAAAAGTAGAAAGCTTGCACCAAAATTTTCAAAAAGTAAGTCAATTATAGAAAAAGCATATAAAAACGAAAATAATAAAATCCAATTTACATTCCCTGGTCAGTTACCGGAAAGGTTACATGGTCAAATGCATGGATAGGCAATCTTCTCGAGCAATTCTTTCAGAGTTGATGAGCTGTCTGAATCAACGACTTAGACCATTCCATAGTCTTGGTGATTAAACTCACCATGTTACGTGGTCTAACTTTGGCTACAACGTATGAAGGTCCCCTGAGCTACCAAACGTTTTGATCTGTATCCTGTGTGTGTGTGTTTTTTTTTTTTAATATTTGAACTATGAAGTGTTTGGATTTAGATTCCTTTTGTCAAGTTCTGATCGATATTAACAACAATACCACCACCAAAGAAAAGGTTGGGCTGACATGATCAGTTCATTCATACTAATCTTGAATCTAATTATTATTGAATTTTAGTGTTTTATGAGTTGAAAATTTCAAATCGAAATACTTAATTAAACTCAAAATTTTGAGTTTGGTTTGAATTTAAAATGGCTTTTGATATGAAAATATGATTTGGTGGTTAGAACGGTGGAATTTCAATAGTAAAGAATAATAGAAGGGATCATAATCCAATCATCTCATAATTTATGTATTAAAAAAAAGTATCAATCAAAAAAATTGAGTAAATTATAAATTAAATTATAAATTAAAATCTCTTATTTTGAGAAATAAATTAATTAGTTCATTTGATTTTAAAAACTAATTTTTTTTATTTTTTATTTTTTAAAATAGAAAAGGAATAAAAAATAAGTAGAAAATATGAAAATATTTATGAGAAAAGAAGACATTCTGTTAAATTAAAAATATTAAATTAATCGTGATCAATACTGATTAAAAAAATAATTAATTTTTAAAATTAAAAAAACTAATTAATTCGGTTATTGAAAAAAAGGAATAATTTATAATTTACTCCAAAACAATCAATAAGTCATGGGCTCTTTATGAGGTCTGGCCCTTTGTACCGTCTACCCTCCACCTTCCGTGGAACATTCAGTCTAATTATAGAAACTCAGTTGGGGTTATTAATGCGAACATATTCTTTGGTCCTAGGACGGTAATAAGAAGGATATAAAATAAATATTTATTTTATCTGATTTAATAAATATTTATTAAAAATATTTAATAAGTATTAAAGTAGTTAAAAATAAAAAATACATATATACGAAGTATGAATATTCATTTTTTATCTTATTAAATACTCATCAATTTATTTTGATTTTTTTTCAAATATATATGGATCTAATTGTATAAAATTTAAAAATTAAATATCAAAATATTTTTCTCAAAAACTCTAAGAACAAAAAAAAAAAAAAAAAGCTTAAAAATAAATGACCAAAATGCAAAAAAAAAAAAAAAAAAAAAGATCAAAAAATTTTTCTTGAAAATTATAGGGATTGAAATGAAATATTTTTGATAAATTGGTTTTATTTATATGGTTATAATAGATAAAATATTTTTAGGAAGAAGATAAAAAATTGAATTAATGCACAGATCCATTCATTGCCATCTCTAGTCCTGGCTGTAAAATCCAACTCTGTTGACTACGAGGGAATCATTAGCAGTGTTGTAGTAGTAGTGCTAGGAAGTGGCTCAGGACCTTGGAGCACAGAGTAATCAACTTCTGCCAAATAAACCATTATAATCAAATTATTATAAAAACAACCTGTAGGCTATAGTCAATAGGTATAGGGCCCATGGCTTTAAAAGAGAACAGTTATGTAACATAATGATATTATATAACGGTAATATGATTTCTGGTAATCGTTTTTAGACGTTATGGATATTTTGATACTGTTTCATGTTTATAACATTATTATTTATTGTTATATAACAACATTACATGAAAAGAAATTAAATTAATGAAAAAACCTAAAATGTAGTTGGACAAAAACATCTACTAATGAAAAAGAATCTTGTTTGCAATCTTTTGTTCCCCGTAATTACTAATGAAATGCAGACAGAAGACAAATTGCAATGTCAGATTCAGACCGTGATAAATATGGAAACCGGAAAGGCTGCAGGCA